CGAGCTTTTAGTGCCACGCTATACACCAACATCGAGTATACTGGATATATAATGGCCAAAGTAACAATAGGGATTTTGTGAAGCTAAATCTCAATAGTGCTTAATCCGTTCCTAAGTAATAATTCTGTCCAGGACAATAAGGGTGCGCATGGTTGTTGGCGAGGCCGAGCCTCGCCGTCGCAACCCACGGTGAGGCTCGGCCTCGCCCAGATCTGGCGAGGCCGAGCCTCGCCGTGGGTCTCGACGGTGAGGTCGGCCTCGCCCAGATCTGGCGAGGCCTAGCCTCGCCGTGGGTCGCGATGGCGAGGTCGGCCTCGTCCAGATCTGGCGAGGCCGAGCCTTGCCGTCACGACCCACGGCGAGGTCGGCTCGCCGTGGGTCGCGATGGCGAGGCTCGGCCTTGCGATCCGGGCGAGGCCGACTCGCCATGACCGACGGCGAGCCGCCTCGCCCGGCGGCGAGGGTCCAACCTCGCCTCGCCGGCAGGGGGACCCCGCTCCGCCGGCGGCGAGGGCCGTGACGCCCTCGCGCCCGGGCGTGGCGGTCGCGGCGACGGCCACAACCCAAGAAGAGCAACACAAAAAGAAGAAAAGAAAAAAAGAAAAAGAAGAAAAAACTGATTCTCAAAATTACGCCGAAATAAGAAGAACTTTTTTTACTTCTTGCTTTCTCTTCCAAAACTGTTTATCGGACAAATATTTGCAAAAAATGTGCCAACAAAAAGTTTACCAAACACATTTCTGTTCCCAAACTATTTCTGAGAACAAAAGAATAGAAATTTTCACTATTTGGCACGTTACCAAATGGGCCCTAAACCACTACGTAACTATGGCAATGAACTCCGTATAATCTAAAACGCTTGCAGCTTCTACTACATCAGAAGAGCTACGAAGGGGGTCCACAAATTGGTAATTTCCGGGAAGAACGCTAAAAGAGAGAGATGCCAATTTCCTTTTGAACTTTATTTGGGTGGTTCATTCTGTGACGTCCAAGTTTCTCGACCTTTCCTTTCTTTTTTCTAGATGTTTCCGAATTGCTTCGCCCCCCCCAATTTCTTTAACCCTTTAGGTGTTTCGTTCACGAGGACGCCCCGAAATTCATGCACCTTCCATTGCACTCTATTTGGAAAAGGCATTGCGTTGCGTAATGAGGAAGACCACTTAGGAATTGGTACGCATTGGTTTCGGATTAAGAACCTGAAAATTAATCTCTCGGTGTCTATTTTCGATTTTTAGAGTCGGCTTGGAATCAAGCAGGCCAATTACAGGATCCATCTAGGTACTGGTGCTGACGTTAAGGAATATGGCTGTTATTGTATGAGAACATATTATGTGAACAATGGTTAAAGTATTGATAATTCTTTTAGACTTCTCAAATACGAAACCCATCTCCAACACATTTATCTTTTTCTTAAACAAAGATTTAATAAAAAAAGAAGACAAAAACTGGTTCCAAACCAACGTTTTTATGGTATGCAATCGAAAACCAAATTGAGCAAGGCCGAATTCCCAATTTTGTTTTCCTAGGACCTATTAGGTTTTCGTGTGCACCTGCCTGGATCCGGTTTGGCAAGGCCGTTTCGGTTCGGTTCGGTTTGATTCGGTTCTCGGATGGAACCATTCCGGCTACTCATCGTCATTACAATTCAACATAACACAACCAAATCTAGAATACATATACAATTCGATTGTGGGGTTAAACTGAATTAATCGTTAATTAAAGAAGTAGCTGACCTTTTAATTGGCTTCTAATGTTGGACATGGTACTTTGATTTGGTTTGTGTAGTAAGTGCACGAGATTAATGCATTCTTTTCACTTTTTATGGACATAAGTTTCCATAGCAGCGTGATGTGTGGACCCCGTCATACCATGCTGGAAGCCACTAGAAATTTCAGTGGCCTCGGAGACAGATCATCATCTCATTACCTACTGCCCATACTAAGTAGCAGTCAAAAAAATATTATTTTATTTTATTTTATTTTTTCTAATTTTAAGATTAAAGTTCTCCTTCACAACTCCACGAACAACGTAGAACTAGAGGTGTAAACGGTTCGATTCGGTTCGATTTTCTTGAAAAACAGAACCGAACCGAACCGTTAAGGGTGCCTCCTTGAACCGAACCAAATAGGAACCGAACCGAATTGGAACCGAACCGATAAACCGATTTGATTCGGTTTGGTTCGGTTTGGTTTTCGATTTCTTCTTCTTTTATCTTTTTTCACACTTCTTCCCTTCCCCCTCCTCGTCTTCTTCTTCCGCTCTCTCTCTTCCCTTCTCTGCGAGACTGCTTCTTCTTTCTTCTTCCCGTCAAGAAGCAGGTCAATTGATGACCCACCACCGAAAGGCCCCACCAGATCACCGGAGTCGGCCATGGACACTCGCCGGAGACCGAACTTCCGGCGACTGAACCCGCTCTAACAACAAAAAAGCGAGGACCGGGACTCGAACGACCCGTTTGGTTAATGGCGGCCATCACAAACACCTCGGAGCCGCCGTCGCCGGCCCGGGTGGACTCGGTCTCGATGTCGGCATCGGCCGACGAGCTGACGGCCGAGGCCGTGAACAAGCGCTACAAGGGGCTTGTCATGCTACGGCCAAAGGCCGTCAAGGGGAAGGGCGCGTGGTACTGGGCGCACCTCGAGCCCATGCTCGTCCACAACGCCGACACTGGCCTCGCCAAGGCCATGAAGCTCCGGCACTCCCTCTACGAGGCCGTCTTCTCCGCCTCCAACCCGTCACGGACCGCCTCCGAGCACCTCAAGCGCGGCACCTGGCCCAACTTCAAGAAGCCAGAGAGAAAAATGTGTTTCGTCACTTTTTGGGAGATGATAATGATGTGAGGGAAGAGAGAGAATAAAGCAGGAAAGAGAGAGAGAGAGAGGAGAGCAGTGAGAGTGCGAACACAGAGGAAGAGAGAGAATAAAGTAAAAAAGTGAGAGAGAGAAAAGTCAGTGAGAGGTGAGCAGTAAAGAACAGTGAGATTGAGGAGAGAGAGCGCGCGCGAAGGGAAGAAAACCACATTAAAAAATCGAAATCCGAACCGATTTGAACCGAACCGAACCAAACCATTATATTAACCAAATTCATTTATTTATTATCCGAACCGAAACCGAACTTAATCGAAAATGCATGAATTTTCGGTTCGGTTCGGTTCGGTTCGTATCTCGATTCGATTTTTCGGTTCGGTTCTGACACTCCTAGTAGAAACATATCGAACCTGGTAATCGCAGCCGCCAACATGAGTGGACACCATCAAGTCCATCATCTTTCCCAATCTCCTACTTTGTAAATTAATGAGATTTAAGCCGTGATACTAGATTAGCCAAAACTTCTTTTTTTTTTGCTATAAAAAAATGATTCAAAAAATATTTTCTTTAAAATGGGCATTTGTATCGCTTAAAATAATTAATTTATAAGAAATATTTTCATTATCGACAATAATTTATGTCTAAATATGAAAATATTTTTCGTTCATTCATTTTTGTAAATAATACAAGCAATCTTTTTAAAAAAAAAGTATTTTATAAATTATTCATGTTTTGTGAAACAAACTTACTCTAAAATTAGCTTAGGGCGCGTTTGGCAACCGGCCAAATAATAATTATTTCTATTCTTTTGTTCTCAGAATCAGTTTTGGAACAGAAATCCGTTTAGTCAATTTTTTGTTCCCGGGCACAAATTTGAGAAAATTTGTTTCCAGAATCAATTTTGAAATAGAATCAGGAAGCAAAAAAGGGAACAAGAGTCAGAAATAGAAAAGAATTTTTTTTTCTTCTTCTTCTTCCTGGCCTATAGCAGGCCACCGGTGACCGGCTACCCTTGCCGGCGAGGGCAAGGGCCGGACCCTCGTCGCCTAGGCGAGGGCTGCCCTCGCCAAATCTAGCGTGGGTGCCCTCGCCACTGCCCTCACCAGATCCGGCGAGGGCGGTTCGCGACCTGGGCGAAGGTCCAGCCCTTGCCAGATCTGGGGAGGGCCGCAACACCCTCGCCGGCCCTAGCCTGTGGTCGGTCGCCGACGCCGGCGACCTGGCCATGATCAAGGAAGGGGAAGAAGAAAAATAAAAAGAAAGAAATATTAAAAAATTCAAAATATAATTAATAAAAATAAATTTTATGTAGTTACCAAACGCATTTATGTTCTTTTTCTATTCTAAGAATAGAAAGTTTGGGCATTTACCAAATACCTTCAAATGCTTATAAATTGTTCCCGGACACAAAATTAAAAACAATCATTTCTAAATAGAAATTATTTTCGAGAACACAATTGTTGTCAAATGCACATTTAACCGATTCAAGAGGAAGACTTCACCTATTTGTTAAGTGTTTTTAACATGAATCGAGAAAAAAAGAGAGCGAAAAAATATTGGTCCTTGGCGCGTGGGACACTTAAGCCTACAAGATTGTCAGGACGCCACGTGAGCCTGGAAGATTGCCACCGCAGGTTCTCACACGAGATGCCACGTAGCGGGCCTGTTGACTACTGAAGCTCCGAATTTCCACGCTACCCGTTGACTAAATGGGGGGCTCTAAATTCCCATGCTACCCCTAGACAGGTGGCGGGACAGTGCCTAGGACAGGAAGAATTGTTCGCAGAAATAGATGGATCATACCACGTATACAAAATTAATAATTGCATTTTTTATTATTATTATGAGAATCGATCCTACTTCTTAGTATAACGAATAATTACACCAATAGTCTCTGAATTTCGATCTAATATATAAAATGATCCATGAACTTTTAATTTGTTCAATCCAATGCACATTGTAGCCCATGAATATAATTGAATATTTTTTATAAAGTTCATAGATTTAGGACCGTATTGAATAAATTAAAATTTTATGAATCACATTACACATTAAGTTAAAATTCAGGAATCACGTTAAACAAATTAAAGATTTAGATACCACGTTGCACGTTGAACCGTGACTGTTTGTAACTTTGTGTCGTTTTCCCAATTTGAATTTAATACTTTGGGCTCACCGCCTCTTTCTCAAATGGGCTTTCATTTTACAGCCCGAATCGATGTTCTTTCATGGCGGGGCGAGAATTGGAGAGAGAGGCGGACGGAGGAAGAACGTCCATGGCGGAGAAGGAGAATCCTCAAGAACCGAACGAGGATTGCGCTTTCGCTTGGGACGAGGCGTCGCAGCTGTACTTTCACGCCAGGTATCTCTCGCTCTCGGCAATTCGAAACGCTCTCCTTCGCGCGGCGCTTCCCGCCTGCACGGGAAGGACCCGGCGAGCATGCGATCGCTCGACCGGATGGCGAGATCCTCGGCGTTTTCGGTTCGATGCGAAAACTCGCCATCGAATTTGCTTCTTCGAGCTCTTGGGTGTTCTTTTTTTGCTTTTTTTGGCCGCTTTCTTTGGCGGGATTGATTAGGCTAATCATCTTCCTAGACGAGCTGATTTTGACTGTTGAATTGGGGTGCTCGTTTGCAAGGGAGAGAGTGATTGGTGTATAGAGTCAACATTTGCATCTACATGGTTGTCTTCCTTGGCCAAACAACCGAAGAACTGTTCCTAGAGTTCATAGCGCTGGGCTTGGCGTATGTTTTTGCTTATATGAAAGAGTAAGCATAAGGTTCTTATGCGATGGAGTGATTATTAGTTGTATACTCGAGAAAAGAATGACCCTTTGACCTTCCATTGGACCTATTAGATAATCCGTGTTCCTCGCGAAATAATGTAATGTCAAGAAATTCCCATTGCATTGCTGTGAATGTAAGTTCTTTCGGTTTTGAGAGAGATTTTCTTCTTTCTATGTTCGAATTGAATCGTTCGAACTTCTCATTTCTCTGTCACAGTTTTTCTTCTTATACCTTTTGCAGAACCGGATTTTATCATGACCCTGATGCGGGCTGGTACTATAGCAGTAAAGACGGGCTTTATTACAAATTTGAGGATGGAAATTACGTACCTTTAAAGCATGAAGCGGTAGATGTAATCTTCCTGACCTGGTTTTCCAGGGGGCTCCTTTTGTTCCTTTCTTTCGTTGGCTCTTTGGCATTTCACCCTACAAGGTGCAATATTGATAAGTTTCGCTATCCTGTTCATCCAGGTTGATGAACGTGATGGAGGAGGTATCAATGAAATTTTCCCGCAAGATGAATCACACTCACGCAAAGGTTGTGATGGAGAGGGTAATCCCTCCTTGATCGAGGGAGTTGAAGTTGAAGGTTGCCACCGAGAGGAAACTGTAGTCAATGAGGCCACTCCAGGTGAACCATTTCTTCGTGCCAGTCTTCTGTTCACGTTTTCACTGATTATATAGACTGATTATCATCAATACATATAAGGCTGTAATATTGGCTTGATAGAAGCCCCATGGTTTTGCTTGACATCCTCAAGTGCTTTGAGCTGCTTAATGTTGGCAATTTTTTGTGGGAGCACTTTTTGGGTTTAGGTATGTAGTATGTCTTTATTGAAGCTAGGTGATTTTGTTTTGGCATCCGTTGTGAGCTCTTTTCTGCTTAAGTTGGTATAATATAGCATTTGACTTGACTGAAGCTCTTCACGATAGTCTCAATGGAAACCACTTATGTCTTAGCTTGTGCATTGCTTCTCTGTGTGTTTAAGAAGTTTCTAGGATTATGGATTCATGTAGTCTTTGTCCACGTCTGTGTGATATTGTTTCAGGACTCTGCGATAACTAATGCTGATGATTCAGCTAATAATGTAAAAATGTTGCTAACAATACTTTCATTAAGTATCATAATTTTATCTATTTTTGGTTGGGAACTAAGTATCATAATTTGAAAGAACAGATTTTCAAGTTGAGAGGACCCTAGTGGTTAGAGCATACATACCACTTTATACAAAAGACTGTTGACACCTGGAACTTTGTGAGGGTCCAATGTCCCACTATGGTTCAGCTAATCAAACATGTCGTATTGTTCTAAAGCCTGATAAGTCTCTTGGTCATTGATGTCTAGCCTCTGCAAAGAGAGAAGTGGATTCCGTGGGGGATAGGTCTGCAGAATTGCAGGGGGAGTGCTCCTTTATTTGGGATGAGACATCGCAGCTGTACTTTGATGCCAGGTTGCTCCCTTAGCACTTGATATCTCACGGGTGTCGAATCTTTAAATTCATGTGATTTCTATTATAAGCATGTGGTTTCTCGATGTGTAGATAATGTTTGTTTTATTGATGACAAAAGTCAAGAACAAGATCTGCACTTTTTTCCTTGACTTTCTTGTGTATTGCATTGGTCAGAAAGCAAAATGAATAGAAAATCAATACAGGAAAAATGCTAAGGTGTTGCTCGTTTTAGATTATCGTGGTCATTACAGGGGCCACATAGATGACACATCTTCATAATAGAATTTTAATTTCCATTTTATGTTTAACTATTATTGTCGTTGTTGAATATTTATGCACAGTTGCACACACGTCATGAACATAATATATAATTTAAACTTGTTTGAAGATAATTTACTTTTTGGCACCTTGATCCTCATGAAATGACTTAGAACCAGGTCGACATAATACCGGAGCGATGTAGAGCCATGATTCTCTAGGAGGTATTACGGTAATCTTCTCGTTCTACAAGTTAAGCTCAAGAAATCCTTGCTCTACAGGATGTTGTCGTGTAGGAGAACTTTATCCCATGTTGTTAGTAATGTGGATATGAAGTTTCTTGTTTTCAAGAGCTGGTATTAAACTGTTAAGCTGATTATTTTTGCCAACTTTATCTAGTTGGAGAGGTTTTTGCTGTTGACCTTTCTTTTCTCATTATTGTTCTCTGTACTTCCGCAGAAGTGGGTTTTATCATGACCCCAATACTGGCTGGTACTACAGCAGTAGAGATGGTATATATTACAAATTTCAAAATGGAAATTATGTGCCCTTGAAATCCGACCTGGTAGACATTGTATTCTCGCCCTGAACTAGTTTAATTTTTCTTTTACCTTCTATGTTATGTAATTTTCTATATAGGTTCAATTTTGATATGTTCATCCATCATGTTACTTCAGGTTGATAAAGGTGATGTGGGAGGTACTTGCATAAATTCCCTTCAAAATGAATCTCATTCACATACATGTCATGGGAGGACCAACAATTACTCCTCTATCTTGAGACACGAATCTGAAGCTTGCCAACAAGAGGACACAATAGCTGATGAGGCCAGTTCAGGTGAACCATTTCTGAAGGCCAGTGGGTTTGTGACTGTTATCGGGTAAATTTCACTAGCGTTGACTAAATTTTAGTGGATTTTGCTACCAAGTCATTGAACTTTGATTTAAATTATCTAAAGCACTGAATTTTGCTTCTTTTGCAATTAATGCGCTTTGACTAGTATTTGGCCAATTTCCGGGGTAATGCTGACATGACAGCCACGTGGCAATGGTGAGGCTTCTGGAAATACATTCACCTGTCTGCCCCTTCAGCATTTTGCCCTAGATTGGCAGATATTGGTCAAAGTTCTTCAATTGCAGGGAAATGAAAGTGTAATGCTTTAGGTAATCAAAACTCAATGGCCCGATTGCAAAATCCACTAAAATTGAGTGACGACCGATGGAATTTACACCTTTATCACTTTTAAATGTGATTTTGTCAAGAACTCGAATTGTATCTTTTATTTGGCTTAAGAGAGCACCATAGTTTTTCTTTGACATCCTCATGATCTCTTAGTTAGTGCTGGTGGATTTTGGTGCTTCGAGCATATCAGTCCATGTGATCTCTTAACATGAGGTCTATGAGTATGTAAGGCATGAATATACTCTCAACATTGAGAATTTGACATCATCAACAACCACTAACTGGTGCTTTTTCCAGAATTTCATCTCTCCAACCACCCATCGGTCTGACCTACTATTTTTTCATTTATCAATTACAATAAGCTAGAGCAGAAGTTGTTTGATTCTGCTTTATGTGATAGAATCCCCAATATACAGACTTCTTATTAAATGATTGTTCCTTTTAAAGTATAGCAACTTTCCATATCTGCACTGCCCTGATTATATTCAGCTGGATATGATATGGCTATATCAAATATCAATTGTGTGTGTGTGTATTTTTTAAGTTCTAAATTTTCTAGATCAATAAGTTCATGGCAGCCCAAGTATTGCTGGGCCTGATTGGCCACTGCCTTTGTTATAATTTTCCACCAAGCTCCACCAGTCTGGTAGCTTAATATCATGATTTTTTGCCGTCGCTGTGCTGCTTTCACCGAAAACTTGCTTTGACATTTTGTCTGTTTTTACACTGCCAAAGTGCAAAAGAATTTGTCTATCCATCTATTTTTCTCCTGGTTTATCTCCTTTGATGGACTTATCTTGGAAGCAACTGGATTGTACAAATTAAAGCATGGTTTTCCAGGTTCATGCACTAAAATTAATATTGTGTTTTATTGTTGCACAGACAATGAGGGTACTGTCCATCATGCTTCTGAAGATCCACAGCCACCATCAGAATGGTACCATATTTCTGCAGCATGCCTCTTGTTGTAGAGTTTTTCTTCCTGATATGCTGAAGTGGATATTTCACTGTTGTCAGGTTGGAGGATACACTGATTGAACTTTATTTGGCTGGCTATTCCAATCCGGCAATTGATGCTGGTGGTGAATCTGGTGATGCGATGACACCACCTGAAGCTTGTGATGGGAATGATTTTAGATTGTCGTCACCTGGTTTGTTCTAGTGTTTTGCTCACAATTAGAATGACAAAATACTCCTACAGAATGACTTAAAGCCTTTTCTTTTGAATCAGAAACTAACGATGCTTACGAGCTAGAAGAAGGAGAGTGGATACCAGAAGACCTCCCTAATCCATCTGTTTCAAATGAAGACGCTTTAAATCAAGGTTGCCTTATTACCACTTGGAAAATGCACTTTTGTATACAACGTTTGTTTTTTCCTCTCTCTCTCTCCCCCTCTATGGCGGAGATAGAATATTTGTTGGAGGTAATTAGAGGAAAAGAATAATATCTGCGGTCATGATTAAAAAAGCAGCATGAAATTATTTTTGAGGTTTGAATTAATCTTGACCATTCTGGAGGCAATTGACCTCTTCTTAACTTCTTAACTCCAAAGCTCCTAAATAAAAGTATCTGTCCTGTAAGTATCAATATGGTGAAAGAGTTGGGGCATTGCCTCCTAAGAAACGTGTTCTCCTATGTTGTCTATATATGTATAAGTGTGACAATATGATGTCACTCGCTCTAACCCAGTTTATTTTCAGAGTTTACAAAAGGTAATTATCTATTTTTGGTGATACTGATTGACTGCACTATATTGTCAACCCAGTTCTCTTGCAAGATGAGGAAAAATGGCAAGCTCAATATGGTCAAGTCATTCAATCAAGAGAAGAGCCTGCGCTGGAGTTCCCAGTTGTGGATTTGTGGGACTGGGCAGTGGTAACAGGGTCAGGAAAGGATGGAAAAAGTCAAGTGGTTAGGCTAATCGGCCGGCTCGTCAAACGATCTGCTAAACTCCACCCATCTATGCCTGCCGGTGGCGGTTTTCTTAAAACTGCTCCAATATGTCAAGTGCGCTTTGACCTGGTACGAGTTAGAACAGGTTTGGTTTTGCCCCATGATTGTGACAGTTTATACAGTTGTGCTTTTCATGCGGGGCTAGCTCGTTTCTCTTTATAGCTCAACATGGAAGCATAAATATATATTCAGGCTGCTTATATTCATGCAACCTCTGTATAGTTTTTGAGGATGTGTACATTCATGTGAGTTTTAGTTGATGATCTCTTAAAAATTTCTTCTTTCAGGAAAAATATATAAGCTGCGGAGTCCCAGCGCGAGCTACTTAGCTTCAGTGACTTCTTATGATTCTTCAAATCCAACGAAAGATTGGGGGTTTCCCGAGTTAGTAGCCGGAGGAGAACCTGTCAGCCTTTCAAAATCCACTAAGAGTAGTGAATCAAAAAGAGTAGCAGATATGGAACCAGATGAACTTTTGGCATCGCAGAAGGTAACATCATCATGAGCAATATAGAAGGTTGCCATGGATCTGAGTAATGAAAGAATTCGTTCTTGCCCGGTTACTTTAGACTGAGCGTGTCCCTTGATAGTTGATATGCTGAAAATAGAACTTAAGTTTATATGCAAATGGAAAGGGCTGGAAGGCCCTTCCAAGTGTTAGATGAAGGACGCTCAATACTTTTATGGCTTAGCTTTGCCAATGTGCAACATTTCTTGCTTCACACCTCTTGCCCCGAAGTATGCATCACATCATAGGTTACTGACTAGCAACAACACAATTATCATGTCTGGGTAGCATACAGATCCTGTGCACCATGGGCATCCATCGGCTGCCAGATCTTAATGTCATCATGGATTATTAGAATTATTTTATTGGAGCCGTGACAAAGCAGATATTCTTGTAGCTTTTGTGTTGTTAGCCTTCATTCAAGTTGCTTGACAAATACTTCAAATAATTTCTCTCGTTATCTAGAAGATAAGAACTGGTCCATATTTGTCAATTTTTTTTTTGGTGGGTGGAGTGAGGAGCAGTGATTGAAGATATGTCCTTTCTCTTGCACAAGAAGTTCCACATGATGTTACATGTACCTTGGGCATATGCATAAGAATGCAGAAGACCTATATGAACCTACTTTAACAACATAGCCCAGAATTTAATCTGCAACGTCTAGGTGAAACTTGCAAGACAGTGCGACAGACTGGTTTATGACCTTGTCTGAAGCAACTTTGACTACCAAAAAGTATCTGCTCAATAGATGAAAGATGTAGACTTATTCACGTTCTCCCGTTTTACTGGACTATAATGGTGATTGTGTGGACCTCATGATTGAGATGGTCAGTATTATTAAATACTTCTTGCTTATATTGCCAGCATATAGGACCTGGATACAAGGATAGAGCTGCTGCTAGAAGAATGCTGCATCATGGCTATGGTGTGGGGCCTGGACAAAAGAATTTGCCGTCTTGTGGTGATGATGTAGGATCTTCCGGAACTTCTGTCTCTACAGAAGAAGCCGCAGCTGAAGCCCTCAACATGTCTTTTGGAGCTGGTAGTTTTGCCAGAAAAGTCCTTGAAAGCATGGGCTGGAAGGAGGTAATACTATGATGCAGATTAAAACATTCTCTTCAATGGCAAACGTCTTCATTAATCTAAGTATTTTGTACAACACAAATATGTCACAGTTGACTGGGATTCAAAATAAAACTCTCTTGGATAGGTCAAGGTCTCTGGCTTTCATCGGGCCTGATGGTTGGGCCACTGGGTTCCAGTTTTTTAGCGCTGAGTCACAATTTGGTTATTGATGTCTACCTATAAGATTCTTCCCCTGTCATCTGAAACTGTTTGTTGGATCTGCTTCTCTCCTTTTGCTTCGTTTTTTTTTTTCAAAAGTTCCTGATGTAAAGGAAGCTTTGGTGCAGCTGTAAGGTTTCTCAGATATAAGTCCATTTTGAGGGTTCACCTTGAGAAAATAGCCTCTCTACATAGGATCTACCCTGTGTGCTTCAATAGTTTAAAACCAAGATTGGAGGAAGACATGGTCATGTAACTGCTGCATGGTTCAACCGAGTTAATTCACTGCCAGTGCCAGGACCAGATGATTGACAATAGACTAGTTTCAGCATTCATGGGCCTGTGCTGGTGCTCAATGTACGTGCCAGGGGAGCTGAAGGTCTGGCTTTTCAAACATCTCAGTCCTTGGCTCCTTGGGTGAGCCTGAAACCATGTAAACTTGGCAGCAGTTTCTCAAATTGAGTATATACAGGACCAAAAAAGTTGAACTAGTGATTAGGGTTTTCTCTTTCAACCCAAGTTCAGCCCTGATTAGGTGCAAGCCTGCTTCCGGTTGGACAACTTCAACTGGTTAATAGTCTGGTTTCATAAGCCTTGACATACACGTGGCCTATCTGAACCTAGTGATTCTGGGCACTTCCACTTCTTTCGTCAACCTCCGTCTAGAACTGATTAATCAATCAAAACTGACTCTCAAATCTCAAGATCTTCTTAATTCAATTGCATATATTTCCCTGATTATCTGATAACAAGTCCTATGTTCAACTGCAGGGTGAGGGTCTAGGGCGGACTGTGAAGGGATCGGTTGAACCAGTTCAGGCAGTTGGGAATGTTGGCAGTGCTGGCTTGGGCTGGCCTCAAAGCAGAACAAAGCATCAGTGAGACAACTGGCAATTACCCTTTGAAAAGGTACACTCGAGCTTTATATATTTTAGATCTTGCACTGAATGTCGGGTGGGTTCAGATGCAGCACCACAAGGCGAGAGTGGAAGAGGTCTATTTAATGGCCAGATAAATGGGGAATCTTGGGTGAACCCAGGATGAACCATACCTATCCAGATGCTTTATTTTGAAGAGCGATGGAGACTTCTCCAGAAGTTTTTGAATGTTAATGACCCTTTTCTATTAAACAACAGTCACGTTATACCTTAAGACATAAGTTTTACTCCTAACTAGCATTGTCGCAGAACTTCATCACACCAACTTTGTTTTGTTTCTCTATTTTCTCTAACCTTTACCAATAAACATCCTTTTTCTGGGTCAATTACTACCTTGATGATATCATTCTATTATGGTGAACCGCAATTTTCAATCAAACTTGCTTCAAGCTGAGTTTGGTAGTTAGATTTCTCTTACATCGTTAAGAAAGATTAAAATGCACGCAAAGTTGATTGTGTAGCCTCCTTTTCACTTTTAACCTTGACTTATGTGTGGAATTATATTGCAGATAATGTTGATGTACATCTGCTTACAAATGCAGAGATGGTCTTATGAAGGCAGGTGGATATTGCTTTGTTGAGATTATTGGCAATAAATGTATATATCGACAAAGTTTGCCATTTTTGTCTTACATGTAAGTTGACGCTGATTGAATTGAAATGGCTCTTGTGCAGAATGAATCACAGTTTTGCCCCTCACATCTTTTGTGAATACCACTTCTATCTGTATTTGAAGGAAATGACTTCTCACTATGATTTTTGTTTCCTGTGATGGAGGGTAGACATATCTAGACTAGAGGAATGTATAACTTTAAGTACATACAGGGCTGCCACTGGCCAGGAAGAGTTTGGTAGGTCTATATTATCACGTCTAACATTATCCTTTTAATTATAAGGGAATATGCATTGATAATTCATAAATTTAATGTGATGATTGTCTTGGTTCTCAAGTTTCAGGACTTGATTATATCTATTATCTTGGGGTTTTATCCGGAAGATCCCTTAAAATTGTTACAGTAGCATTATTAGATATGGCATTTGGTAGATCCAACCAAATCTTAGTAGGCCTTGAACCATCCAACCGAGTCACTACAATGGATTTGAGCAATATTTGCAATCTTTGTATTTGACTAATAAGGAAGTTGTTACTATTTTATCCAGTCATTTTTTCCTTTTAATTATCTTGGGGAATACTAGATAAGCTACAAGGTCAATAGTGTGATCAATGGATTGCAGTGAACGAAGTGCATCAAAATTGCCACTCTATATATACATGGGGCATGGATCAAGATTTCTTGAGAATGCAAGCTGAGAACATTTGCTTCAGTTTCTTGAATTGGTTCATTAGCTGACTACTAAATAAGAGTATGAAGCGCTTTCATCCGAACAAGTTGGTTCTGTCCACTCTCTATAGTGAATCCACTCAGGAAGCATTTGGCGAACACATTATTCTGTCTTGCTATAATTCATGGACTAAAATTTTCCAATTCCAACTTTTTCGCCACACCCAGAATTTTTTATTCATTGTATTCACGTAATGACAGGAATTCAATGAGGTTCAAAAGTAATGTCGGTGTGGAGGTGGTATGTCCATTCTTTATTTCAAATTGCATGCTTCGAAAGGTGTAACCAGAGGCTATAAACCTAGTAATTCTTTAAGTTTCATGTTGGGCTTAAGATAATCCCAAAATCAGACGTCTTTTTGGATAGATATGCTCTTGTAGGTGAAGAAGACAAGCAACCTTTTGTGAAGAATCTTGCCATGCAAGGCCCAATCTAAGGAGAAATTAGACAATCTTTCCGTGCTGTCTGCTGATAGATTAGTATTATCCAATCAAATCGTTAATAACTTATAGCTAATTAATCTGCTATTAGAGCCACATTTGGTGAAAAACATAGAAGATTCTTGATTATGTCCCCCTTTTCGCCGCGATTGGCTCGTGCTAGGTGAGCCCCACCTTTTTTTTTTTGGCCCATCCTCTCATACTATGATTTTGTACATGGCACGTGTGACCTGTATTTTTCAGGATGATACAAATTTCTTTCTAGTGGACTTTGTTTATCTTCCATGATGGAAAATGCTAGGTTGACATGATTGATCTCACGGAGAAATTCTAGGGCTTGTCGGCAGGTCTCGTATTTTGCTTTATTGAACTGAATTAATTCAGGTTGAACATTTCAGTTTTGAGGGGGGGACATGATTTAACATTGGGACCAGAAGGTCCTTGAGGGTTTTTGGTGAATAAAAGCTTTTGCTTTATGTACTTCATTTGTCTTTAATGGGTTTGTTGATAAAGTGGGTGATAATCCCATTTTTTTCTTCGCTAAGTTAGGTGCTCATGATCTTGCTTTAGGTAGTAATTCCCTTCTCAAAGACATCTTTTATTTAGGAGAATCAATTAGGAGATGAGGGGTAACTTTAGTTGTCAAGACAAAATCTAAAAATGGTTCTTTTTTAATTTTGTTTCTTTTGGACTAAACTGAAAATGATTTGACTTCACTATCTCTGGGCCATTGGTTTTGGCTTGAAAATTTATGCACGAGATTTTCCCCTACCTAATTATGTGGCTGAACTCTGTGAATTCAAGCTGGCAATGCATGTCTTTATTTGCCAGTTTAGACAAAGAATAAGATGGGAGGAGACAAGGTTTGTCGATGGCAAAGCTTGTATTGTCTCCTTCACGTTTACCTTTTAGTTGAAAATGTCCCTGTGAAGACTGCACAGAACACAACTGAATCAAGAAGCTTGCCTGGATGAACAATCCCTTTATGTGTCAAACATTCAAAAAAAAAAAAACAATTAAAAGAATGAGGTATTCTGATTTTTCTTCATCAAAACTCTTCTGATTTTAGTGGAGAGAACAAGACTGATCAAGGTTGCAAAACTATTATGATTTTTTCTCTTGAAACCATAGTCATAATCGTACCCTAATTCCTCACACCCAAGTAAAAGCACTCTTTGCTTTTGAATCTTGGCGAACTGCTCTTTTGTGCTCCACAAGGGAAAAATGGAAGCACCAGTGCCCTCATAATCAGTCTTCACCTGCACCCATTTAAGGGTCTTGCAATTGGAGATGAAAGCAAACAAAATCAAAAGGCCAAAGATCACGTGAAGCTTTGGAGGATTGGTGCTTCAAGAAGCTGTGGCAAGCGAAATAGAAAGGTGTATTCAAGTTGGGAAGCACAATGGGTCCACTTACAGTACTCCAATTGTTGAAGGGTCATCCTCAGTGCTCTCTTTTAGTCTGTCAAACCTCCAACAATGGCCATCATTTCTCCAAAGGTGTAAGAATTTGGACAAAACTCTTTGGCCAATTTGAGACAAAAGGCGACGTGAAGGGACAAGCTTTGGCACGCACCAAAAGCAATTTTGTCTCTAAGAATTGATGGCACACACACTTTCTTTTTCCTTTTCTCATGCATATATGGCTCAACCTCTCAACATATGTATGTATGTGTGTGTTTTCTATCATTATGGGTTCTCTAGATATGCACGTGTAATGGAGTGTGAAATTATAACCATTCTTTTGGATGGTTAAATTGTCTCAGCCAGTCACAAACTTTTAGTGCTAAAGCATTCACAGATCTTATCTGTGTCACTTTCACAAGTAAATTACATCTTGATTTTATTCGACAAACTAAGATATATTTGAGACTTGCATAATGTATTCAGAAACAGTAAGAAATGGTATGGAGTTTTTGCATTGCATTTGTTAGATGACTGTCCTTCAATTGTAGCGTGAGCCAATATAATGGCTTTAACAGAAAAATGATCATATGCATTCAGAACTTCTATTTAAAACTTTCATTTACTAGGTGAGATGTGACAAGTTAATTGTCTAAACTTTTGACTCATCTTTGAATTTCACATGTGGGGCAACCTAATTTTATTTGTTTCAAAAGGTGCATCATGAATTTATGGGCCAATCAGTGCGATGTACCTCCAAAACAGAGAGAAATAATCTAACTCTTAATCATCTTGTTTGCATGAATTATGAAGTTTTAAAACTTCATCAACAAGATATATATCTTGGTAAAGTTGGGAGAAGGCTTAAAAGTCCACTTACTCGATGCCTTTACAATGATCATATTTTTACCATTCAGATCCAAAATTAAGCATAATTCTCATATCATGATCTCAACGTTATCATTGCGTATGATTTTCCTGGAGCGTGTGAATGTGGCTCTCTATTTTTCCACGAGATCATAGCAATAAAGTCAAGTCATTTGGGAGACAAACTGCGCTCATGTCACATCCAACTAAATTTGAGATCTACAGTAAAAGGAACGTGTTCACAAATGATCTATTGACAATCTTTTACGTAATAGTTACGCATATTCGTTTTTTCCTCATAGATAGAAACAGTACCTAAAGAAAGAGGACACGAAATAATTATTATATATGAGTCGTTAGGAAAATGGTAAGGGTCATAGATAAGAGCAGACAGTAATTATTATGATGAGTATAAACGAGAAGACTGAGAATAGGAATGGAAGCATTTTCACATTGGCAACACCTTCATATACGTGTGTCTAAAAGCAATTAAGTGTGTCTATGGACCACAATGTATAATTTGTCTCTCAGCTGGGTCAAAAGACATTTCTCCAATGGGGCAGCAGAAGAAAAAGTGTCACTAACAAAAAGTGTGCTATGCGCTCTGACTTACTTAGGGTGGTGTGTTCATTGTTTGAGGCTTACGCCACAATACACATATTTGAGCTTGGTCAAACAATTGATGGACTATATTCAGAACATTATAAATCCGCTATATGTGCGTGGCTTCTCTCTGCTAAAACTGGTGTCTCGGTTTGTTGAGCTTTTGAGCTGCATCTTCATGAAGGAGACTTTGAGGTACTTAGCAGGAATTGCAGGCCCCAGTGGGTATGGCTCGAATGCCACGGCTGAGCAAGTCACTGTGGATTGTTCTTACTTGCTTCCTTCTCACCTCACTGCCATCATCACAGGTTGGTTGGTCTCTGATCACACTCTTGCTTGATCTTCATACAAAAAAAAAAAAGGAGTTCTCTTCTGCTTTCTTTTCTGTTCTTTGTTGGGGTGGGGAGGTTGTCCATTCCACTCTTTTGCTCCCAATGGGTTGGAGTGTGCTTCTGCTTCGAAAGATAATTCTCTTCTTGCTGACATGTTTTTCTTCTTCTTTCAAGAGGTTTTTTTGCTCTCTCTCTCTCTCTCTCTCTCTCTCCCTCCCTCCCTCCATATTCCGGGAAGAATATTGTATTGTTTCTTATGGTATTTTCACTGTTATGGGTTGGAGTCTGCTTCTGCTTTGAGAGATAATTCTCTACTTGCTTGACATGCTTTTCTTCTTCTTCCAAGAGGTTTTTTTTTTGTTCTCTCTCTCTCTCTCTCTCTCTCTCTCTCTCTCTCTCTCTCTCTCTCTCTCTCTCTCCATATTCAGGGAAGAATATTGTATTGTTTCTTCACTTTTATGGCCTTTTTCTCTATGAATTTCAAACATTTTGAGAGCAAATCTAATTTGGCTTCTAGATGGGTATAATATGTCCGGCCGAATCAGCGCCACAAACAGCTCTATCAACTATAACTATATTAAACGATATTGGTGTACATTAAGCTGCATTCAGATACTAATCTGGTAATGGAGAAGATGAGATGGATTACCAAAAAAATAGCAGACATGCTTAGTAATGGTCACGGATGTTGGTGGCTCTCTTATTTTGGGTTAAATGGGGGACGATATGGTTTTTTTCTCTGAGGATCTTTTTCCTTCATTTTCTTCACCAGATCTCTTGCTTTTTGTACCATATCTGCTAAGCCCAGCATGTGCCTTCCCCATTTTTCTCCTCCTTCATATTACAGATGTTATTAGACTGACATGCATGTTTTCCTACAACCCAAACTACTTGCTCTTATATATGTATTTTTGGGTCGTGAAGGGGCTACGTCAGGAATTGGAGCAGAAACATCAAGAGTGTTAGCAAAGAGAGGGGTCAGAATAGTAATACCAGCAAGGAACTTGAGAAAAGCAGCTGAAGTGAGGGACAAGATTTTGCAGGAATCTCCAAACGCCAAAATCATATTGTTGGAGATCGATCTCAGCTCCTTCACTTCCATTAAAAGATTCTGCGCTGAGTTCTTGTCTCTTGGACTGCCACTTAACATCCTTATGTAAGCTTCTTACTTTTTGCCTATAATCAATATTTCCACACTTGCATTTTATGTTTTCAAAAATGGTAATGGAAGATGCAAAATATTTTTCAGAAACAATGCAGGAGTATTCTCCCAAAAGTTGGAGTTTTCGGAAGAGAAGATTGAGATGACATTCGCAACAAATTACCTAGGTAATGAACGGTCTATCATCGACGAGTCGCAGACATTGCTAAATTCTCATCTTGATTCGCCTATTGATATATCAAAAACTCTTGGTATAACCAGGATAGTATCCAAGTTGAATCGATTATATACTAAGAACCTTCATTTTTCCAAATTGATTTACATTCTTAATCAGGTTCTGATTGAGGGAATTCATTTTGGCAGGACATTATCTACTGACAGAAATGCTACTAGAGAAAATGATAGAAACGGCATCACAATCAGGCGTAGAAGGAAGGATCATCAACGTTTCCTCAGTCATTCACAGCTGGGTAAAGAGAGACTCTTTCCGCTTCAACCAGATCATCAACCCCAAAATGTAAATGAAATCTGATTCCATTCAACTTCTCGGTAACATAAAAAAAGAAGCTAATTTCATCGATCCACTCGATCGTGCAGTTACAACGGCACGCGCGCATATGCTCAGTCGAAGTTAGCCAATGTTTTGCATGTCAAGGAAATGGCAAGACAGCTCAAGGTACAAACTCCACTAAAGAGTCTGAGAATCATTTCATGTTATTCTCATTCAATTGATCAATCAAGTCTCACACCAGAACTCACATGACAGGCAAGGAATGCCAGAGTTACCATTAATGCGGTCCATCCAGGCATAGTGAAGACTGGAATTGTCAGAGCACATAAAGGCTTTATTACAGGCAAGACTCATGTAAATGTAGCCGAATAAAATATATTTTCTATTCACTTGCCCAAAAAATTCCTAGTTTGTCACATAATTTATCTAATAATTCTACGATTACAACCCAAGAATATGAAGTAAACCTAATCAGTAAAGATTTCTCCATGCAGATTCCCTGTACTTCATTGCATCCAAGCTACTGAAGACTATATCTCAGGTTTGTGTTCACGATTCACATTTCGCGAGCGGGTGCGCAAAGAGAGTAATTCGGGTTCAATTGTAACAAGAGCTGTCTTTGTGATTGCAGGGAGCATCGACAACATGTTATGTTGCTCTGAGCCCCAAGACAGAAGGGATCAGTGGTAGATACTTTGCAGATTGTAATGAGAGTACCTGCTCCAGTCTAGCAAACGATGAACATGAAGCAAAGAAGCTATGGAAGCGGACAACTACATTGATCCAGAGACGACTCCGGCAATAGACAGATATTCGATGTACCTTTTGTAAAGTTACAGCAGTTAGGAGACGTGTACATAAGGTTATGTATTCAAGACTACAGAAGGCACACACAGCAGTAGGCTTATTGGTGGGGAAAGCAAAAGCAATTGAAAATAAAAGCTACTTTAGATAAGATGAAAACTCCATTTCCGTTCCTTGCAGACTTCCCTATGCGCAATTCTTCACCTGAAACTTACTCTGGATACAGCATAGTTCTCTCAATCTCCACCATCGAATCAAACAATGAGAACATTTTCACAGAATTTTCCCATACATCAAGTCCAAAGGAGATATGCAAGAACTGGTTACTTCATCGAATTGTATATGTTCAACATTTACATCAACATGGGTGGAAATTCCATAGCTAAAAGATACATATTCATGAGATGCAACTCGTTAAACATGAAGGGTTTTGGCAGCATTCACATGTAGTCAATGATATAAAAACCTAAAGAGTTAAAATAAAACTATGTTAGGCTTGCTTAAGCAGACATTTGTGGCATAAGCAAGCTCGGCATGTCATTTTCATCAAGAAATATAGGAAAGCTAAAGAGACAGGATTGTCGTGTAAATGATGATAAATGACTCGACCATACATGCCATTACTCAATCAACTCTCCATGCTTTTAACTTTTATCCTAAAACAAGCTTTGCTGTTTTTTTCCCTGTTGCTAGCTTTTCATGTCACAGGAAAACATCAAAGTCTCATTACAAGCCCTATGAGCTTACTAATCATCTTCCAGAAAGCCTCCATATTGACAGTAATAGAGTATACCCATGGATTTGAAACCACAAAGAACCTAATTTTAGTCGCTTAATATGCTCCACGATGAAACTCAATTCCTGAAAATTGTTCACCAAGATCAACAGCGTGCCTATTTTGATGCATTAATGTGAAAAGTAAATGTAGCTTCCTGACGTTGAATTATTAATAACATCTTATTGTCCAGATATTGTTTGTAATAGCCAAATCATTATAGAATAAAAAGTTAGAATATTAAAATGAATATGTCAATGCAAAGAACATGAACAAAGGGGGTTAGTATACAAAGTGAGATAGCAAGGAAGTTAAGGTTAATTAAGACGAACTACAAAGCACAATTCATGATAATTGGCAGTAAACAGCTTACAATCGTGTCTTGACATTAGTCAAAAAGAGCACATTCCCAACAAATACACAAGCTTACACTCCTAGATTCCAGGAAACTGCAGCAAGTAACCCAAGAGAATACAAGGCAATTGTAACACTCTGGCCCACAACTTTTTCTGTGATTATGCATCGCCTCGACATGTTCTTTTGGGTTAGACCAACTACATGGGTACCTCAAACCAAAAAATGGGGACCTCATACAGCCCGGTACGCCTCATAAGATGCTCCATTATGGGATGAATATTGTAAAATCTTCTCTTACACGTCAACTGTCAGGCAACCTCTCTCACTGATAACTCGACCATGTCACAAGATGTGACAAAGAAGGGATCTACAATTACTTGGAAAATGTCTCAATCCTTATTTCTTAACCTGAAATAGAGCAACAATCATGGAGTGTCATAAAACAGGAACAAAATCTCATGAGAAATTCCAAATTTTTAAGGTGGGGACGAGGAAATGAAGTCAAACTAACAGAAAATCGAAATTTTTCATTCACATAATGTTAGCCTTCGGCAAGGTTAGTATTTTGTTTTAACAAGGACCAGTGCAACCATGACAAAAGTGTAATGACATAGGAAGTCCATGAACTTTTTCTAGTTATTCAATGTGGTCCTGGGACTTTTTCTGTTCCATTTAGTTCCTAAACTATTCAAAATTAATTCAATGTCGTCCTTCCTTCATCCTAGTCACGTGCTTTCGGCTACGTAGCATGCCACCTCAGCGGTGAGTTGACAAAAATAGTAACGTGGGAGCCACCTCATTTCTTTTTTCCTACTCTTGTATTTCCATTTTTTTTCTCTTCTTCTTCTTCTTCTTCTTCTTCTTCAAAAGCTTATTTGTAACAAAGCCAACTAAGGTACCACCTCCTTTATCCGAAAGTACGAATATGAACAATCAAACCTATTAAATGCAAAACGTCTTGCACGAACAGCCATCTCATTGAAAAATGGCCCCCAACCCACTATTCCCAGTTTTTATCCACCACCAAATCGATAAACACACATCATCTCACTTTGCCTTGCACTTTTTAAAATTACAAGTAATTCCCATCCTATTTCTTGACTGGTAAACGAAAGCTCCAAAAGTACTAAACCAAGCACCCTAAGAAACAACCAAATGACCGAACCAATAGCCATCACCAGTCTCATATATTACCACTAACTTCCACATGGTGGCTAGCAGTTGAGCATTTCTCCCGCTTAATCATTTACAATAACAAAATAAAAATCTTGATCACACATCTCATCCATTTTTTAGAATTTGTAGAGGTACTCCTATATATGAGAGTATTTCACACAATTCATAAATGTAAAGCTACTCCTCAAAATAATCACTACTTGTTAAGTATGAATGTTTTGAGCTCACCTTGATGTTAAAAGTTTCAAACCGATAACAAGTAGAAGTTATCAATTTGGTTTTAGTTTTTTCTTTTTTCTTTATTGAAATGTAGTTCAAATTGAACCAAACTGAACAACGAATGACCCTAAAGTATCTCCTAGCAACTCAAATAGACATAACATGGAAAGTTCTATCCAAGAATACCTTCGAGATGACCGGCGAAGAGATGATGCAGATCCTGAAGATGTTGCTATTCTAGTGCTTGTACCGCGGTTCACTTTTTTAATGTTTCTATCACCTTCCCCATATTCAGCTTCATAATATTTCTTCCTTGCTGGGGACTCACTAATTTCAGTTGAAACTGAGGTAACTGGAGCAGACAGAGAATTTATTGAATACTCTTGATGAACTGTGGTATTTGATGGTGAGGTTCCTGTATATCGTGAATATAGTATATTTGCGTTAGCGCAAAATCCACATTGAAAGAAACATACGCACGAGTAGTCAAATATCACAGAATGATAATAGATGAAGTCGGGATACATGCTGGTGTTTGCTGTTCAGATCTATAGGCAAAAGGTCTGACATGTGTTGACAGTGGCAAAAGTCAACTTCATATGCATAACATGTAAAGGAAACAAGAGAGAAATATTTACCCTGTGCTGCAAATTCTTGAAACTTCCTTCTCATAATCCTCACAAACTTGTATAGATCATTGCTTTTGTTCAACTCATGGATCAATTCTTTCGTGCCATCCAATGGGGGATCGCATTCCAATACTAAGACAATCCAGCAACAGAAAAAAAGTGGGTAAGCAACTTCGCCTATGGTTTAGATGTCCAAGCATAACATCCAATACCAACAACCAAGCCTTACATGTATACGTGTCATTTGCATGGCGAATGGTGAAAAGGTACACGTTGTGTGGACTTTTTATGTCGATATTATCAAACATGAAGGTCACCCCTACAATAACATTCGAAGTCATGAGACCAATCACGCAAGATAAAGAAATAACAGTGCCATCCTAGTGCTTGCATTTACCATTTCCACCTTCAATTTGAAAACCAAGAACCTTATTGTACCAAGAAATTGCCTCTTGTATATCCCCCTTTTGTCCCATTTTCTGTTCATTCTTTTCTTCAAATGCTGTCAAAGCTTTCAATGAACAGAATAACGAGCAATTAGATGGAGAGAGGATCGATATTTTAAAGGAAATGAGAAACACTTAACAGTAGCAACAAATCATTATTATACTAAAATAACCAGAAAGAAACAAAGAAAATCAGTTAGAGAACACAATAACAGGAATGTTGCAACACATCTTGAACTTTTCTTTGTCCGGCTGTGTTGCATTGGTCTTCAGGTTCAAAGTTACATATCTATAATAGGAAATACATGTGAGTTGTTTGATACCTGTCAAAATGCAATAACATGTTTAATCTAACAGAGGATTCACATCAGGTCCTTTAAGGCCAAAATGATGAGAAGAACAAAAACCGAGCGTTATGAATTTGAATATTCAAGCCAATGGCTAAATGCCAAAGCCAACATTTATACAAATGCAATACGTCAATACAGACAAAGGAAAATGGGGGCATTCTATGGGATATTGGCTGCACCTAATGCTTATGAGACGCAAGTGCACATTTTGCATTTCCAGGAGAAGTTGTCCTGATGAAATCATTACAATAACAATGTTCCTGTTTCAACCTTCCTTTGCATCTTTCCAGGATAAGCAGGCCTAGCAACACAACTATTTCCAAGTAGTATCCTCTACACAGTACACACACAATTCTGACACAAGGGTCAGAGTCAAAAAGCTAAGTAGTGACCAAACCTTTACAGAACTGCACCTCACGATTCTGCTGACCGCACTCAGAGAAGATAAAAACAGAGATAAAGGGCATACCGATCAATTCTTGGGATACGATTGCAGCGCACTTATCCCTCCTCGACTTCTGGTCCTGCAAGGATCTCCTAAGATTCTCTTGCCTAGATTTTACGGCACAGATGGAGTCCATAATCGCCATCCGCTTGGCCTCAGTACGAGTCTTAACTACACAAAGTCAGATACGGATATTCAGCGAGCCACAAAAAACCGTACTCCCATGGGTTACCAATTGTTTAACAGGGCAATGGGGAGAAGACTCTGAGTTCGACGCAGCCAAAGCATTTGCTTACGACAGGAGAGCAACCAAAGCATCTAACCCAGAAGACCAGGACAGTCGAAAGCAAACCTGCGAGAGCTTTGACGAGCTCATCCTCCTCTTCTTTCAAGCTGCTCTTCAACTTCGATAGTCTTCCTGCGACAGGAACAAAAAAGAGCGGAACTTGATCTCGAATTGCCCGATTTTAATCCCAAAAAACCACATCGAATCGCCACAGAAGCAACCCCTCAATCCCCTCCGAAACCCTAGCCTAGAATGGGCGCGAATGACGGTACGGTACCGTTCTGAGAACCAAGGAACGAAGACAAGACGGACCTTGATCCTGGACGGTTTCCTGCGCTCTGGCCTTCGTGGACTGCAGCGAGTCCAGGAACGACGCCGCGAACGCGTCGATCTTGCGCTGCTCGGCGGAGATCTCCGCCTCGCACGCCAGCCGCAGGGTCTCCATCTTCGCCCGCACCGATTCCCCTTGCATCGTCGTCGTCCCCACGGAGCGATACACAGAGAGAGAGAGAGAGAGAGAGAGATTGGAATGTGCTTCCGGCTCTCAGCCCGCCATTTCTGCTTTCAAGTTCAAATACGAGAAGCCAAAGATGACTTGCAGAAATAAACGGCAAAAAGGCCAGAAAGCGACGGTTGAAACGGGGACAAACACCGACTTCTCGGGAGCGTGCGAGTGACTCGGTCAGTTGGAATCGCTGAGTCGGGATAAACCGAATTTGCTCTCTTTTGTCGCACGATTCATGCTATTGCTGCTAACCGGAACTTATAGCTGATCTTAGGATGGAATGTCGTCCATATGGCCATGTGATAAAAGATGTGATGTCCCAAAAAGTTGAGATTGTTGTAGGGCCGGGGGGTCTTGCTAGGCCCGCCCTAGCTCGGTCACGATAGATCAGAAGGACAAAACGGGCGGATATAAGTAGGCATCTCCATGTTGGACTCGTTTCAATACATTCACTTTCGATCGCTTTTTACGGTAAAAGTGTGGTATCTATTTTTCAATCACTATCAAATTTGGGCAAAAAAAAAAAAACAAAGAAGAATCGGACCCAGTGCTATGCACGGGTTCTCGGGCTTGGCCATTGATCAAGCCTTTTGGATAATAAGGCGGATTCCGGTCAAATTGCATCGGAATGCCAATGAATGTAAAATTTTTGTTCAAAGTGCCAAAGGACACGAAAGTCTAGTGGCTATTTTATTAGTGGAATTTTACTCCTTTGAGAGGAACTACGGGTGCGTTTGCTTCAGCATTCCCAAGGGGCTTCGGGGGAATGCAAATACCTTTAACTCAAAGCCCCTTGGTGAAATGCAAATTGCATTTGGTAAAAACTCCTTTGTGAAGTTACTTTTGCTCAAGTAATATTTGGCAAATCTTATTTTATAAAGGGCTTTGGGATTTTTTTTTATTAAAAAAAAAAAAGCTTACCCTTCACCGGAGCCGCTGATGGGCTATAGCTGTCGGCTAGCCAGATCTGGCGCCGGCAGCCATCGCCCAAGGTCGGGCCGCTCGAAAATTGGAATCGGGACCTGGATCGGTTCCCTTAGAAGTCACCGGTTCCGGGCGGTTCCCGATTTTTTTGCACACCCCTTCTCAGAAGTACCTAAACAAGAAGACTTTTTCTTACATTATTATATTTATGTTTTTACTCCAATCTTAAGAATTTATTGCAAATTGCCCCTCCATAGAAAATGATCAAAAATGAAATTGCTTCCTTCTCTTTTAACTTCTTGCAAATTCCTCCTTCATCTTACAAAATTCGCAGTCAACCGCTGTTAGTTTTCCTGCCCAAACGTGCAATGCTATCCATGCGAAACTTGAATTGGCCTTTTCTATCTTTCATGACCAAAATGCTTGACTCGGTTGACTTATAATAAAAGAAACTCACCCTAATCCTTCTCATGGAATTATTAGCTAAATCCTTTGGAAAGGGAGGGAGTTCTTCATCTCATTGGTGCCTAACTTGGTGCAAATTCTTTCCAATTACATAAATCAATCTAAAGCCAACCCTTAAAAGTCAATTTAAATTACAAAAGTGCTACCTTAAATGAAAATCAGTCTCACACTAGTAGATTCCGTTCGAATGAATATAGTAGTATTGCATCGTAACTGAGTCAAGTTTTACCAACGATGAGATGTGCATCAACAAGTCAGTTGGAGCTATACATAAAGACAGCCCCAAGAAGTTGATTGAGTGAATAAGCATTTGCTTTCAATGCAGCAAATCATGAATTCAAATAACAATATCTTTTATTTATAGTAACCTTGAGTCTCTTTTGTCACCCTGTGGATAGAGCCTTATTCAACGAATACTCATAGGCAAGGCGATCTATGTGCATACTCCAAAAGGTATCTATGAGATATGTTTCCAAATATATTCTATGAGGTGCGTAGGAAAACATTTTTAAAGTATCTCATTTCACGGTTATTGCTATAGTGAAGAAGTTGCACAAAAAATGGATGGAGCGTTAAATGAAAGTTTCCAGGGTTATGTATACCGGTAGAAAATTCGACAGTAAACATGTATCGCGGCAAAAATTTTGGGGGATTATTTTGGATAATTTTTTCCCTTAGGAACTAGTACTACCGAAAGTCAGAGAGAGAACCTGCCAAAAAATCAGGGGCCACTTTGCTATAAAGAAATCTCGTTTAAGGAGTCGGATAAGCCTTGGGCTTTTAACATTCCCAATGCTGACTTTCGGCCGAAAGTTAATTGGAAATGTTGGAAAGAAGTGGGAGTTGGAAAAGTCGGCATTGCAAATGCTTTCAATGCTCAAAGCTTAAAGCTGGCCGACAACCTGGGCTTTTAACACCCCAATCGACTTTCGGCCAAAAGTTAATTGGAGCAAAGGAGGAAGGGGCTCCAATGAGATATGTTGATTTGGGCCTGACCACAAGATATTGGGACTTTTGGGCCGAGTCTGGCCTTCTCACAACTTCTCACATTTGCCAGATTGGCCTAATTAAGCCCAACAAGCAAAACAGCTAATCCTAAATAGTTTTCAAAAGCAATTTGCATTTGCCCCACCATAGCTAATTAGCAAGACAACAAGAACAATGCAGAAAGAAAGAAAAAGATAATGGGCCTTTCGCTTGCCTTTCCACGTAAAAGAGCATCATTCTCCCATCTTTTGTCACTGGCGAACCCCAATAACATTCACAGAAGCCCCACCACAGATGCAAGTTACTGCATTTCAAATGGTAGGGAAGACGAGCGCAACTTTCTCTTTTCCAGTCAAGTCAAATTGTGAGAATGCGAGCCTGCTTTTCTTTGGCCAAAAAGAATAGACAAGAGCTTCCCTCATGCAAGCTTCCTTTGTGGTCTCTCTCTTCTCAAATGAAGGAAAAGGACAGGACTTTGTTTTGGTAAGACAAAAGCTGGGTTGGCAAGGACCCTTCTTTGCTTATGCCTGTTGTTGTTCTGGGGTTGACTGCAATCTCATTTATTGTTGCGTTGCAAATATATCCATAAAGATATGTCTACTGAGATGCATTTTATTATGTCATCTAACACAGCTGAAAACTGTTCTGCAAGTTAGGATGTATTTAAATGTTGCAGAGAAGGCCCACTGACCATGTCTGGTAAGGAGATTAAAGAGAGAGAGAGAGAGAGAGAGAGAGAGAGAGAGAGAGAGAGAGAGAGAGAGATTACAAAAGGTCCAAGATAAATCAGCTATTATTATTAACACTCAATAGCTCGAAGATATACATAATTGCCAAAACTGGGATCATCCAATCAGCAAGCTGTCAGGGAAAACAAAAGAACCATGTAAATTTTGTAGCAATACCAACTCAAACCATGTGATGCCTAGGGAAGAAAAAAAGATAAATTTATCTGAAAGCGAAATGGCTAACAGCTTAAGCAAGAAAGAAGGAAGAAAAAGGAAAAACTCTACAATTTGAGTCATTCTGATCTGATCATGGACATCTCACATTTCTTCCAGGACCTCCATAGTAAAAGTAAGTCCCCCAAACTCTGTTCCTCCCTTGGCTCACGTCGTAGCAGTTCGGGTGATCGGCCAAAATGCGTAGGTTTGACGGAGGGATCAGGCTGTTGTCCCAATCCACGACTTGTAAGTTCCGAAAGTACGATGACCTCTTGAACCCTTCACCGGCGAAATGGCCACTGCCCATCTGCGTGGAGGTGTGGTAGCCTCTCGATCTGGTGTTGACGATTTCACCTCCGAATTGCACCATGTTCGCGTGGCTTCTCAAGTGACTGAACAAGTATGCTGGCCAGTATCCCACAAGTAGGCCTGAACCAAATTGGAGCCACCAGTGTCCGTGCTTTGGATCCTGCAAATAGTGCATTGGCATCATTGGTCTTGAGAGTGAATCTTTTGGATAATTAATCGACATTAGTGGGGTCTAATCATATGATTTGCTACTTTATTGTAATAGCATTAATTAGCTCTTCTTGATGGATCTAGTTCATTATCTTTGCTCATGTGCAGAGGGGGAAAAAATCAGGAGCCCACGTGAAGTGTTTTGCAGTTGTGACTGAAAAAAACAAATAGAATCTTACAAAAAGATTAAAATGCTAATGAAAGGTGGAAGAGCTATGCCAGAAAGCTGATTAACTAGCGTGGTCAACTTCATTTATTTAAAAGTGGGACTCATGATGGATCTCCTCAGCACATTTAGCAACAGTGGAACTCTTGTTAGATAATTGCTACTGACCGTGCAGAGATTCGCCATATTAATCAAGTCTTAATTTTAAAGTGTAGGCAAAATATTTTATCTACCCCTAAAGAAGTCTAGAGCAGACTATCTACTTCTACGTCCAAAAAAAAAAAAAAAGACTATCTACTTCACAAGTTATTTCAAAATTATAAAGAATCTCAAGTTGAAAGCCAAAAAGCTCCATGTATACATCGAAATAACGGCATTCAGTTTACCTTCCAAACCATTACACTAATGTCAAATTGTCTGCCGTTGTAAGAAGACCTCGGCGAGATAGCGGCTCCAATAGCGATCCTTCTGTTTGTCTGAACAAAGCCTGAGCACAGTAGGTTGTAGCAGCCAGTTGCTTGGTATGCATCTGTCTGCAAATTGTTCGCCTCTCAGTTCCTTTTCAAATTTCTTATTTACATAATTAACGAAAAGATATAATTCGACTGATTTCTTGTGTCAGATCGACCTAGCCAGATGATACTTACAGTCCAATAAGTGAAGAACCTTGGGTAGTTATCTCCATATAATTCCGGGCTAACCTGATTGTAGAGAATGTTCAGATAATTCATCAGTAACAAACAATAATTTCGGGCTAAACTGATCCTTCAAATCTGTGTCAAACATTAACATTTTCATTTTTCCAGGCCTTCATAGAAAATTAGAGTTATTCTCTAGTGTTTGTGGTCTGGTTTACAGAATGCAGAGAAAAATAGCAATGAATGATCAAATACACTTGCCTGCCATCCGGCTTCGATTGTGTTAAGGTCATTGCCAAAGGAACCTGAAATTACCCATATTTGCGATAAGCTAAACTCATACTCGTCGGTGACACGGGGTGCCCACACGTTTATGCTCGCTTTGGCTCCATAGAATTGGTCCCCATTCACGTACACAACTGCATGCTGTAATAAGGAAAGCAATTCTTTAGATTCCTGCTTTATAAAATGCTACTAATCCAAAGAACGACTATTGAAGTTATTAATTGTTTTGGATCAAAGGTTGTTAGGCCGTAACTTCAATCAATTAATGCATGGTCCTCTTTTCAATAATGGGATTTTAAGTTTTCAAACGGCTCAATGTAGACAGTTCAATAATCTGATGATTGGTGCCAAACAATAGTTTCCATTCATGTAAAACTAGATTTAGTAGTAAGCAACAAATGCCTAAAAAGGTATATTCAGCTGTATGAAGGATAAAAATTCAAAAAAGAAGACAAACACAATGTGTTTTATCCTTTGCTGATTATGAAGGAATGTTTCCAACAGTACCAAAGCCTGAAACTTCTTTTTTGTTGAGGAATGTTTCTGATAGTTGGAAAAACAGAGACTTCTGCAATCTTTCTTGTTTATCATATCTGAGTTCATTATTGACAGTTTCACACAGACAGCAAAACGCTGCGTGAGCAGGGACTCGCTCACCTCATGACCACTGCCTGCTGAGTCCCTCCTCACATTTCTCCCCAGCTTCCTTCCAAACCTTCTAATGGAACTTGCCCTGAGCATGTCTCTCTCTGTGGTTCTTCTGATTGGAATTGTTCCTTCTGGGCATGACTCACCTGCCTCGGCCCATAGCTGAAAACCATCTGCGATTTCATCTGCGGTTGAGTCATTGCCCTTTGGCCTCTCCGGTGGATCCTGTAGAATCCCAATTATTCAGACTCAAATCTTCCACCTTTAATTTATTTGGTGAATTGATAAAAGGTGAAGTAGTACCAGTGGTTTCTGCCCTTTGAGCTGAGGGTGGTCAAAAGCAGGTTGAAGATGAGTAAGCACACAGTCTATCAAATCGCCATCTGGGCTCTGCCAAAAAGAAAAGCAAAATAAATGAAACGGCATTGCTGAGCCAAATGCTCTATCAAGAAAGACCAGAGAATTAGTAGAAACTACGGAAAAAAAAAAGAAAAAAACCTGAATGGTCTTCACCGCAGGTTTATTGATTTTCTTGAGATAAAAGTGGACTTTCTTCAGCTTGTGCAGCTCGTTATATGGATGGAAAGTTTGGTTGACTGGTGGTTTGTTAATGGACTCTGCTGCTGTTGCAGGCTGTGAAAGAACAGGGCTTAGTAAACAAAGAGCAATGAACGAAGAGACCAACATGGGCATGATCCGAGGAGGAGGAGAAGGAGGAGGGGAAAGTGCCAATTTTGAGGAATGTTTTGACTGAGAAAAAGAGTGTTGTTGGGTTCGCATGACTGGGGTGGTGTTGTCCTGTTGTGCGATGATAAGCACATGACAGGAAAAATTCAAAACAGAGAGGAATGATAAGTGTTCATGTCCATGCGAAACAGAGGAACATCGAAAGAGTGCAGAGAAAGAATAGTCCTCTGCCTCATCGTTTTCACAATATTAAAACACCCCCCCCTCTCTCTCTCCCTCTCTTCAGAATCTGGTGTTTTGGTTTTATGCTTCTGACACCGGAGAAACTTGAGGCAGGAGCGCATTAAAAAATGGGGAATGCGAGGAGCTCAACTGCATCGTAGTTTTACCCATAATTGGGAGTTCAAGACAGACCCATCTCTTGTTCTGTATGTGACCATAGAGTTGAGAAAATTTACAGGATGGCAGGAACGGAAAATCACACTGTTGTTTTCAGTACATTTTGCGAAAGGGAAAGATTGGGCAAGAACTAGGGACAGCCGACAATTCAATCTCACATCGAAGCACCGTAAAAACACTGTCGAAATAAAAATGTGAGCTTGGCGTAGATTAATGTTCCGTCAACATCGAAAGTATGCTAGCTGCAACCGTCATGAATATGAGCATTATGGGTTATAAAAGGTGGACCGTCTCGCGCTCGTATAAAGAGCATAATCAATCGATTTTCTCTATCTAAGAGGTCATTTGATATAGCTTTCGTCCAGTAGTTTCAGCTGTGAAAGCGAACACCGCTGCTTTTAGGTATTTCAGAGAATTATCTTGACAGGTACAATCCCGTAAGGTTAACAAATTCCCATAGATACTTATTGATATTTTCACACATCGATTGTAAGGTCACCAAATAAAAAGGGAATTTTTAATCTTATAATCACCTTACATTTGCCTCTCGTGGCAATGTTCTGTAGTCAAGATGAGACCTCAGCATGTGCAGGGGCACGATTTCTCCTTCCTAAACCGTGTTATAGTTCAAAAACTTTCTGGTCATAACCCCGGAAATTCAAAGTCAAAGTTCCATGAAAGTTCACCGGAGGCGAATGATGAGGTGGGCCCGGGGTGGCCCCCACCACCCTAATTGAACAGGGCCCCCCCGGTCCCACCCGACCTGACAACACTCTGATGTCATGGTCCACCTAAGCAACAAGGGCCCGTACAGAGGCCCATTAATTACGTCATAAATAACTCTCTGCAGAGTAGCAAGCCTGGCTAATTAATGAGATTAGCTGGAGTTGCACCAATATGGTGGGTTCCCTGACTTCTCACATTTAGCAATTTAGCACGCCCTACTGATATTTCCCTCGTGACTCTTTGGGCACCTTAGAGATCTTTCTTGAAAATGGCATAAAAGACGAAATAAATGGACCTCGTGTATAGGGGTATGCTAATGTATGGGGATTCTTTCGATTTCCGTTTTTCTTGCTAGAGTTCTTCGGACAACTCAGAATTAGAAATATATACAGTTGGATGTCGGATAGAAAAGATAAACCGCTGAATAGATCCGATCGGTTCAATTTGTGCCCGATTCTAAGAGCTAGAAACCGGTCCCCCCCTGAATAGGGTTTCTAATACGTGACTCGAACTGACCTACCGACAGATTTTGAGTAAGTTTTCCCTTTCAAAAAATAATTAATGTTAAACCTAATTTATCTGCAATTATCAGTGACGAATTTCACTTCTATGTCCCATTTTGTAAGGCTAGGATCAGTCAATTGAAATTTTGAGTTCGACAAAATTCACAATTTTTACAGTGGAACCAGGACCCAATTGGTTCTAGGACCGATCGGTGCCAAAAAAGCATAAACAAATTAAATAAATTCCTTTTGTTAAGAAACATGCGTATGCCTATGTGGGGGCGGAAAAGCCCCTCGGCCTAAATTCTGGTTTACCTTTCCTTTTTTTTAAGGTCCCGAGTGATGATGTTTGCCACTTTCCAAAGACTTGCCAACTTGTAATTCCTAATTTATCCATTGCAAGAAAAAAGATAGTATACAAAGTACATTCGGCCTCTTTAATTCGCTAGTGATATCAACGTGTTGTCGGGAAAATTTCAAATTAGGGCCGAAGTGGCTAAATTGGTCTCGGATAAGGGCTCGAGCTCGCGGGCCGGCTTGTTCCGGCAGCTAGAGCAGGGGCAATTTTGTCCAAAATTTTCTGATTTTGCCCAAATTGAAGCTAAGGTTTGTGTGGAGTTTGTCGACTAGTTGAAGAATTGCCAAGAACCTTTACTTGAGATTAAACTGGCCACTCCAGGTGAATCCTTCTTCGAGAAAACGATTGATTTGGGTTATTTTAAAAATTTTCCTGATGTCAATTTTACATGTTTGCGATAAAAATGATGCGTAAAAAAATCGATTTCTCCCATACTTATAGTGCTTTGATTAGGATGAACTATGAATGAATTGAAGGGAATAAAACCAAGATAAATACGAATAAAAATTAAGGAATCGGAAGGAAAATCAAAACATATATTTTTTTTGTCTCACTCCTCTCTACTATATACATGTGTGTGCGATGCTCATGAGAATTGAATCCCGATCCGGAATTCTCCAGCCCTACCTTCAGTCTCTTCGTTAGTAGGGCCGCATGCCTGTGTTGGCAAGGATAATCGATATTCGACTCACCATGTTTTTTTTTTTTTCTTGGTTGAGAAAAATAGGTAGTACGTGCACTGTCACTCGTTCATGCTGTACATAAAAACGAAAGGACATATGTTTTTGAGGAATAATGGAGGAATAGGATCGGTCCCGCTTTTGGGCTCCCCATGGAGCAGGCCGTCATGATGTAGTTAGATTTAATATGATCTCCAGTGGAACCACCGCACCACCTTTTTATAAAGTTGGAATTGATTATATTCCCTCCCCACTCACCCTAGAATATGAATATTTTTCTTCCCCTCCTCTTTTGTTTGTCTTTTTGTCTTTTCTATTTTCTTCTTTTATCTTCTCGAGATATATTCGGTTGTGTCATTTTGGATGCTCGCCTATTTCCGATGATAGGCATTAGAGAAGAATTCGAATTCCATAGTCATGGGAGATAAGAATACGTGGAAGAGAGGGAAAGAGTATCAGAAAAGTCCTAAACTTATTGTATTGATGTCAATTTGGCTCTGAATCTTTTTTTTTGTGCCAATTTAGTTCTAAATCTTTTAACGTAGTACCAGTTCAGTCCTTCCAGCTAATTTTTGGCCGGATATTGCTAACGTGGACACTGGCCGGCCTACATGGCACGGCCGGCGCTAACGTGAATAACTTTTAATAATTTTCTTATTTTCTTGTTTTTCATTTATTAATTTTTTTTCTTTTCTTTCTTTTTTTCCCCTCCCTTCTTCCTCCAACCGGTTGCCGGACCTTGGCAATTGGCCAGAGGCCAGGGCCGACCACTGGCGAGACTTGCCCTCGCCGAATGGCCACGAGGGCGACCTCGCGCTAGGCTGGTGAGGCTCAAGCCCTCTCTAGAGGCCCCGAGGGCGAGGGCAAGTCTCGTCAGCAGCCAGCGAGGTCAACCTCGCTGGCCCTAGGCTCTGGCCGGTTGCCGAGGTCCAGCGACCAGCCAAAGGAAGAAGGGAGGGGAGGAAAAAAAGAAAAAGAAAGAAAAAAAAAAGGAAAAGAAAAAATAATAAATATAAAAATATTATTAAAAGTTGTCCACGTCAGCATCAGCCGTGCCATGTAGGTTGATCGGTGTCCACGTCAGCAATATCTAGCCAAAATTAGTCAGAATGACTAAATTGGTACTATGTCAAAAGGTTTAAGACTAAATTGGCAAAAATATAATAGGTTATGGACTTTTCTAACACTTTTCCCCGGAAGAGAGAATTGGGTGATTTTGGGAAAAAACCACTAAAAACCCCAAACTTTACCACTTGTGACATATTTACCCCGAACTTTTTTTTGTGTCATGAAAAACCCCAAACTATGCAACTTGTGACACATTTACCCCAATATACTATAGCCTAGGGCATTTTAGTCTTTTTCCCTTTTTCTATTTTTTTCTGCTTTTTTTTTTCTTTTTTCCGGCAGGGGCTGCCCTCGCCGGCGAGGTCTCCGGCGACCTCGCCGGAGAGGGCAAGGGACCCTTGCCCCGCCCAAGCGAGGGCTGCCCTCGCTAGCGTTAGGCGAGCGGCCCCTCGCCTCGCCGGCGTCGGGCGAGGACCCTCGCCCCGCCCGTGCGAGGCGAGGCGCCTCGCCCGGGCGGGGCGAGGGCTCGCCCGCTACTGTGTCGGGCGAGGGCTTCCCTCGCCCCGGCTAGGCGAGGGCAACCCTCGCACGGGCGAGCGAGGCTCGCTTCGCCGGCGTCGGGCGAAGGCTTCCTCGCCCCGCCCGGGCGAGGTAGCGTCGGGCGGGCGAGGGTCCCTCGCCCGACGCCGGCGAGGCGAGGGCCGCCTCGCCCAACGCCGGCGAGGCGCCCCTCGCTTGGGCGGGGCGAGGGTCCCTCGCCAACGCCGGCGAGGCGGCCCTCGCTTGGGCGGGCGAGGTCCTCGCCTCGCCGCGCGGGCGAGGGCCGCCGCGCGGCGTCGGGCGAGGGCTTCCTCGCCTCGGCCGGGCGGGCGCCCTCGCCTAGGCGGGCGAGGGCGCCCTCGCCCGGCCGAGGCGAGGGAAGCCCTCGCCCGACGCCGGCTGGGCAGGCCGACGCGGGCGGCCTCGCCCGTCCGAGCGAGGGCGGCGTCGGGCAGCCTTCGCCCCGCCCGTGCGAGGGCGAGGGACCCTCGCCCGACGCCGGCGAGGCACCCTCGCCCGGGCGGGGCGAGGGAAGCCCTTGCCGACGTCGTCGGCGGGCAGCCCACTCCGCCCGTGCGAGGGCGGCCATCGCCTCGCCTGGGCGGGGCGAGGGTCCCTCGCCCGACGCCGGCGAGGCGAGGGTTGCCCTCGCCCAACGCCGGCGAGGGCTGCCCTCGCCGGCGAGGTCGCCGGAGACCTCGCCGGCGACCTCAGCCCCCGCCGGAAAAAAGAAAAAAAACAGAAAAAAATAGAAAAGGGGAAAAAGACTAAAATGCCCTAGGTTACAGTATATTGGGGTAAATGTGTCACAAGTTGCATAGTTTGGAGTTTTTCTTGGCACAAAAAAAAGTTAGGGGTAAATGTGTCACAAATGGTAAAGTTTGGGGTTTTTGGTGGTTTTTTCTCGGTGATTTTTATATATTTTGCATAATGAAGAGTGGGGGATGTGTTTATAGCTCTTTCATTATGACTATATGATATGACAAGATATTATAATGGCAACTGCAATCAATTATCGATATGCACAATCAAAAAATATATATGCACAACTTTGATAGGTATGGAGAATCAAGGGAGATGCGGA